GGTGCGATCCGAGTCCGTGGGAGCCTCCCCAGCCCCGCAGTCCCAGCAGCAAACCGAGCTAGGTCGGACGGATGCTCGCGCTGAGGTAAGAACCCTTGGCGGGGTTCGCCCGCACCCCTTGTGCCCCGCCCCCCCGCTCCGGACTCTGCGGCCCGGAAGAACAGGGCGGAGGGCGATGTGCTGCAAAGCGGCTAGAAGGCTGGGCAGCCCCGCTGGGCCTCCAGGGGGGCGCTGCGTCTCCAGGGTTCTAGGGGTACCAGGCCTAGGGCGGGGGGCACAGAGGGCAAGGGTGCCCTGTCTCAGCCCGGTGAGGTCGCCGACCTTTCCCAAGGACGTCTAGCTCATCGATCTCTCTTAGGTTAGCCTCTTGGTCTCCACTTCTGCGCCGCTAATTCTGGCTCTGTCTCTTCCTGGCCTCCTCTCAGATTCTACTGGAGGGGCCCCCAGTTAGAATCTAGCTTCTCAGGCTCCGAGGGTTCTTCTGGAGAGAGCTGGAGGGGTGTGTGTGGGGCTCAGCTCTAGGGAGAATCAGCTGTGGACTCCCCACCCCCACCCCCACCATCTCCAGCACCTAAATTAAAGTCCTGGGCCAAATGGTGGTAGCTGCGGTGGGGTGGAGTGGGCTATGATTTAGTGGCTGTGCAGAGGCCATAACGAAGTTTTGTAATTGCCGATAGGACCTTTGCTGTTCCTGCCGTGCTTGGTTCCTGGATTCCGTGTGGGGACAGGTGTTAGCTTGTACCTCACCTCACCAGCACACTGCCAGGCTGAAAGGGCACAGAAGGCTTTTTCTGAATGGCCCAACCCTTGTCCTCCATTCCTGCATTTCCCTGTCAGATGCTTGCTCTGAGGTCATTTGTGTATTTGTGCTCTAGACAGGTTCTAATGTCCATGATACTTGGTTTCTAAATTCACAGCAAAATTAAAAAGGGGGAGATGGGCTTTTCCCTGAGGCCACACGGCTCCCCTTCTGTTTTCCTTCCCCTCTTATTTGTGTAGTCCCCAGATTTCTTACTTCTGGAATTTTAGTCATGATGAAGTTTCTGCCTCTAAGAATACCCTTCTTCCCATCTCCACTCCGCCAAACTTTAGCAAGTGTCTCCTCCTCCAGGAGATCGGCCCAGATTTCCCCCACATCTTTCCCTCTGTTAATACCTTCAGCTGCACTGCCAAGTGCCTAATACATAATAAATGAAATAATTTCTGGATAAATTTAGAAAGCATTGAAGATTTGAGTTCTTATATATATAAACATTGGTTCAAACTGAGATAACAAAGGGCTTCTCCCCTCTTTTCTATTACATACAAGGTCTCAAGGAAGCAGGAACTAGCAGGAAAAGGCTGGCTCCATGTACTCTGTTAAAAAGAAAGGATAAAAACGCTATGCAAATTGCTTTAAAATTTAAAAAATTAGAAATGCCTGAAGGGAGCATCTCACCCTCTGTAAGTCTTCCCTCTCCATCAACTGGGTCCTCTGAGGGCCTGGAGGGGCTGAAGTTTCATGCAGTGCATCAAATCTTGGGCTGTTCTGCAAGGCCTCAGTGGGGCCACCAGGAAGTTGACTAAAACGGAGAATGTGACCCACCTAGTGCATGTCTTTATGCTCCCGATGGTTCGTCACTGACATACTGATGTCAGAGGAGCCTGGAAAGATGTTTACATCTTTTAAAAAGGGAAACTGAAACATTTTTTTTCCCTGCAAAACCATCTATAAAGGCTGCTCTTCCTCTTCCTCATGAGACCTTCTGGCCTGAGTCTAATCTAGTTCTCCTTGGGTTATTGTGACATCTTGGATAAACCACTATTTTTTGTCCCAGTAGCCAAGATTCCCAATTCATGGATGGGTAGAATGAGGAACTTCAAGGCAGCAGTTTGCAAAAGGCAGTGTAAATACTGTTCTATAGTAGACTGAGAAAATAATAATTTATAATTTATGTATATGAACTCATTTAATCCTCCCAACTAAAGGAGATGGCTCTTGTTATTAGTCCCCTTTTAAAGAAGAGGAAACTGAGGTGTGAAGGGGTTAAGTAAATTGTCTTCAGTGTCACAGCTAGAAAGTGGTCCAGATAGGTTTTAAACTTAGGCAAGCTGTTTTAGACTCATTGTGCTTGACTGTACTACCAACATTGTGCTTTATTCCTAAGCTAGTCACTGAAAATGCCTCTTAAATCACATTTCACATGATTCTCTTGTTTTCCTTATTGCACAAAGACAGAAAGGAGGTAGAAGATGGGGGTGAAGAGCTCAAACTTTGGAATCTTGTGTTAAAACCCTGGCTCTCTCCCTTACAAACTGTATGACTTTTGCCGATTCTCCATTTCCTCCTCTGTAAAATGGGCTTGTAAATCGATCTCAAGGGCTTGTTGTAAGGATAAAATAGGATGTTGTGCCAGTCTCAGTGCCTGAGTCATTACTGTAAATGTATCCAAGACTGAAAGTCATTATTATTTTAACAGCAATCACCTTTCATGACACTGTTACTGTCACTTTGCATTTTCAAAAAATAACACCCCCATCCCTCAGAAAAGAACATACTGGTACCAGTTGGTCTCCACGTGCTTTGACCAAGCATTTGAGGAGGGGCATGGACTATGGACGGACAGCAGCTCCATTCCGTATGCAGATAACTCAGACCCCCAAGAAGTCACATGGATCCCCAATATCTTTGAAGGTGATAAATTAAATACAGACCCTTAAAACCTTGTCCCTCCTGAAGCCTAACCCCTTACAGGTGTGTGTGTGTGTGTGTGTGTGTGTGTGTGTGTGTGTGTGTGTGTGTGTGTGTGTGTGTGTGTGGTGGTGTGAGAGTGTATAGTTAGTATAGTAGTAAGTAAGTAACTAAGAGAAGAAGACGAACGTAAACGGTAAAACGGTAAAAGGTAAAGTAAA